ATTGATGTAATAATGTATATTATTGTAATAATTTATATAATAACTTAATTAAATGTATCTGATATCTTATTTATTTCACACTTTTAGTCTGAATATTACGATTTATCTTTTCTGTCCTGAAATCCACAAAATCCTAAAAAAATCTGCACAACCTCTGGTCCCAAGCATTGCGGATTTCTGGACGTCTACTGTATTACTTTTAAGACTACTTGTGATGTTTGTATTTGTGTAGATATGCAATATGTAACTGAATAAAAATCCTAAATGAAATTTGTGAAGCATATGAGACTAAAAATATCTGCAGTGGAGATGAAACTGGATTATTTTATTGAATTTTGCCTAATAAAACTCTATATTTCAAAGGAGAAAAGCTCCAAGGAAATGTCTGATTGTGATACTTTGTTGAAACATGGAAGGAGAGCTTGAGCCACCACTTGTAATTGAAAAGGCCAAGAAACCAAGGTGCTTGAAAAACGTCATTCTAAAGCTTTATCTGTCCATTGGTATTGCAATAAAAAGTCATGGATGATGCAAAGCATAATGTCAGAATAGTTGATTGCTCTTGATTAAACAGTATCTGGAAAAAATAAGAACATTCTTTTATTTCTTGATTATTTGCCATCCCACCCAACAAAAATAACCATTTGGTGACAAAATTAGCGATTTCTCCCCACGTGTGGCAATCCTGCCTTCCTTGCTATTTTATGACAACCATAAAACTGCTTTGGAGGGAAGCCATTTGTTACAAAATGTACCGTACCTGTACATTTTGTAACACTATGTACCTTCTGAAGAATGGCAAAATATTATTTAAGGGGCAAAATGTCTGGTCTGGTGGGTGTCCCATATTCAGAGGTGTTACTGTATTTTGACAATTTATTGAAACTAATAATAAACTCATAAGTAGTACTTAGGCTGTCCAAGTTTGTATTTATATGGTGTTGAAGGTGTATCAGTTTTGGACCCCCCACACGTGCACAAAATAAATTAATAAATAAAATTTAAAAATAAATTTAAAAAAATTCCTGTGTCTTTGAAAATGTGTGTTTCCCAGCTAATGCAACATCAATAGTGCAGGCTTTTGGACCAAAATATAATTAGAAGCTTCAAGGTACATTGCAGAAAATTGTTTTTATAGCTTGTTCTTTGACAAGCTGGTTGCAGAAACTACGACCAGTTTGCAAAATATGTAAGTGCATTGAATGGCATTCAGTGGATGACAAAGGCTACTAAATCCATATTACAAAGTTGTGTTACAAAGTGTGTGTTTTAAGAAAGCAGGCTTCGAAATTTCGATTTCGAGTGCCCTCATTGAAATTACTATTGATAAAAATGAATTGTTTGAATTGTCAAAATCAATGTCAGTGCTCAAATGCAAAAATATATAGAAATTAATGAAAACTTGTGTACTGAAGGCACCAATGACTGCATAAAATCTTTTATTCGAACTGTACTTGATGCCTTTAAAAAATTAGCTTGGAAAGCAGAGAGGAATACAAAGAAGAGCCAGATGAAAAGCATGACAAAAATAAATAAATAAATAAATAAACAGATACCTTAAAATACATTACCCAAATAAATAATAATAAAAAAAATTCATGATAACCATTGCTGGCACGGCAGAACTTAAGATCATCAGTGACTTTGATACAGTAGTGTCCACATAAAAATAAATATAATAATAGCCACATAAAAAAATGTTATAATATCCACATAGAAAAAAGCTTGCAATGGGCAGATTTTCAAACAAACTCATATAACTTAATTTAGAAGTCAAACAACAAAAACTTATTATATAACTTATTAAAGCAACATAAACCATATAACTTATTTTCAGTAAATTTCTGAAAGTATTCTGTGTTGTTCATTTCATACATTTTTGCAATAATTAAAGTTTTTAATTAAAAAGCTTCATTTTTCATTAACTTCAAATTCAAATAATACCCATGACTATGTTACTTATTTATATATCATTTATTGAAACCTTGATACAAATTGAATTTCTAATTAAATTACATCTTTTTAGTATTGTTGCATTTTTCTTTTCTGACACCAGTTGTTTTTACGTTATTTTCTTCCTTTATGTTCGTATGGGGTTCGTGTGGATTTGGAGTGAATAAGGATGACAGCAGTTGATGGAACATTGAAATGCACTTTATTTACCAATATTAATCAGGACAGCTCCAAAACACTTTTACAGTCATCGAAGATCTACAATAAACACACTGGAACGATCAGCGACACAGTCTTCAGACTGTCAGGCAATAACGGTGGAGACAGCTTCACTGCAAGGCATCAGAGTACAGCTCCCAACTCTGCTCGGGCGTTCTCGGAACTCCACGCACTCTCGAGACTCTCCACGCTACAACTCGTGATGTATTCGATGACACACAGAGCACGGCTCCAGACTCTTTGGTTCAGTCATTCCTGGAGTTTGACGATGCACTAAGAGACTCTTCAATGCACTCGATGACCAACTCGGCGCTAGACTTTGAGACACTCGCTCAATGACTGATGAGGCACACACCGAGTTGCCCTCTCGACAAGGCACACTGACTCATACTGCGGACCAGCAAGGTTTATATAGCTTTCGGCTTGTGTTCGAGAACGTTCTGGGCTAAACCGGTAAGAATTCGTTCCAGAAGGTCCTCCATCCGTCCATGGCATATCGCCAATTTTGTCACCAAATGGGCGATTTCTCCCCATGTGTGGCAATCCTGCCTTCCTTGCTATTTTATGGCAACCATAAAACTGCTTTGGAGGGAAGCCATTTGTTACAAAATGTATCGTACCTGTACATTTTGTAACACTATGTACCTTCTGAAGAATGGCAAAATATTATTTAAGGGACAAAATGTCTGGTCTGGTGGGTGTCCCATATTCAGAGGTGTTACTGTATTTTGACAATTTATTGAAACTAATAATAAACTCATAAATAGTACTTAGGCTGTCTAAGTTTGTATTTATATGTGTTGAAGGTGTATCAGTTTTGGACCCCCCACACGTGCACAAAATAAATTAATAAATAAAATTAAAAAATAAATTTTAAAAAATTCCTGTGTCTGAAAATGTGTTCTTTCAAAATTTCCAGAAATTCACTTACTTGGTGATAAAACAAGCTGTTATTAAGGCTTGTCAGTAGCATTTTTGTGCATAAATATGGTTCTATTTTAGCTGTTTTCACAGTTCAAGTCAGAATCGCAAGATCTGCAATTCTTTACAAGAAATAAGTACTGCTATATAAAACATGTCCACAGATTTAATATGTGAAGTCTAACCCTAAATGTGAAAATTAAGCAAATTAATAAGCAAAAGAATGCCATAAAACATACAATTTTATTAGGCTTTATCATGCTTCTGAATAATTACTTAAATATGCAAAAAAAATCTTTTCTTATTTTTATTTAAATTTATTGGGTGAGTGTTTAAAAAGATTTGGGTGAAGTAAATTAAAAATACATTTTTTTGTTAATAGAATATGAGGGTTGGAACTTTAATAGTGGCAACTATTTTATTTACAAGGAATACAAAAGTGATTCATGTCACCATGTTTTACAGTCCTTCAATATAGTCGCCAGCATTGTGTACAACCCGTTTCCAATGATGTGGAAGTCGCAGAATACCTGTAGCAGCGCCTGTTTTGTTGATAGTTTGAATGGACCGATCTACTGCCACAAGAATCTCAGGAACAGTTTGGAAGCAAGTGCCACGAAGTGGTTCATTCATCTTAGGAATTAAGTCATAGTCACAAGGACTTAGATCTGGGGAGATGGTGGATGGTAAAGCACTTCCCAGCCTCATCGCTTGAACAAATCGGTCACAGCTTGCGCTGCATGCAGCCGAGCATTGTCATGCAAAATGAGAGGAGCGTTCTGCAGAAAGTGTCACTGTTTTTTTCTCAAAGCTGGTCAGAGATTGTGCTCCAAAAATGAGCAGTAATACTGCACAGTGATGGTCTGCTGTGGGGGAACAGTATGCGTTAGGATGACACCATCACAGTCGTACACGAGAATCACCATAACTTTCAGATTGCTGGGGTTCTGACGAAATTTCGAGCGTCGTGGTGACCCGTGATGACACCATTCGTTTGATTGCCATTTCAGTTCTGGCTGGTACGATCGGGCCCAAGTCTCATCCAGCGTAATGATACGGCGTAAAAAAAGCATCTCCTTCGCGCTCATAGCGCTCCAGGTGGGTTTGGGCAGCATCATATCGTAGCCATTTCTGCATTTCCGTCAATTGATGTGGAACCCATCGTGAAGCAATTTTTCTCATGGACAGGCGTTCCTTCAGAATGTGCAGCACAGTCGTATGCGCTAATCCTGTTTGTCCGGCCAGCTGACGAATCGTTTGGCGGTGATCACTGTCCATTAGTGGGGCAACAGCTTGCACGTCTGTATCGCTGACACTCGGACGACCTGGCCGCAGCATATCTGCCACGTTTTGGCGTCCTCAATTGAATGCTTTCACCCATCTTGCTACGATTCTGTAACGCAATGCAGATTCCCCGCAAGCCTCTTGGAGCCCTTGATGACACTGTCGTGCTGTAAGACCTCTGGCACATTAAATTTTTATCCAACATTGTTGTTCTTGTTTTGAAAACATCCTGACAACACTTACTTTAGACTGCGAGCTAATAGAAGGATCCGTTCTTTGCGTCACTCTGCATGCGCATGATGTAGGCAGGACGAGTCTTTTTCCTGAGAGGTAAGGTAGGTATGTAGTTCACGTGTGGTATACGCGATATTCTTTGGTTTTGTTGCGTAGCGTTTTTTCAGCTCTGTTTCCGCTATTAAAGTTCCGACCCTCGTATAATGGTTTTCACATTTAGTTTTAAAATGCTTGTACTTGTTTTGTGATATCTTTCCTGTCTTAGTTTTTATTAATTTATATTTAAAAAAAGGCCTTATTATTGAAATAATTTTCCTTCTCCCCCTTCTTCTATTTATTTTTTATATGTTAAAATTTTTCAGGAAATGAAAAATACTTTTCTCTTTTAGCATTGATGTGAAAATTTCAAAACGTCCTCCACCAGAAATTGAACCATGTGTCAATGGTAAACGAGGAGTTCTTAAGCGTCACATAGATCGGCAGAATAATTCCACATCTAGTCATATGTCAAGTAGTGATGAAGATGATTTCCATTCTCAAGATTTAGCGAAGAGAAAATCTAGCAATTTGGGCTTGAATTCTGGTGCACGTTCTTCTCGTGATAACTCTAAAACTTTCCTTGTTTCATCTGTTAATTCACCTTCAACCTCAGGTTATCAAAACACAGCTGCTAAAAACTCTGTTTCATCATCATACACAGCATCAGGACAAATAAGTAATTCTGATTCTAAAGGGAATGTAGATAATACAAGTTCATCACATAATTCTAGAGATGCTTCTGTGCAAAACTCACAAAAACATCCACCATTAAATCCATATGCTTCTCGACGTAATAGACAGAGGCAGTTAGAAGGATTAGATCGTATGGAACAGAGGTTAAGAGACCTTCGAGCTGGTACTTTGAGGTAAGTAGCTGTAAATTTTAATTATCAAATTTTGTTACGAACTTCATATTATATATATTACAAGCTGTATTACTGTGTTTAAATGGAAAACTGTACATAATCTGAAATCTGGATATCCAGTACCCAGAATGGTCTAATTTCCAGACTTCCAGTCCATCAGTCAAAAAGCAATAAATAAACATATAAAATGATTTTAAAAAATCCCCCTTCTTGCTTACAGTTAATGGATGGTTAATGTGATACTCAATAAAATGGTAAAACCACTGATTGCAGGTAATTTGAAGTGACTTCAAATTATGGCAAATGGATTCTTACAGTGGAATTTTTATGGATTTGCCCATGGGTAATGTGACTACAACTTATTTACCATTTTAAATCTTCTAGTTTTTAAAAAATCTTATTTTCTATCATCAGACTTTTGGAGCTGTGTTTTTCTCCCCGTACTAAAAGTGCTGCAAATTTTTCACCTGCCTAAATTTATTTTAGACACATTGCATGCTCTCTTTCTTTCTATATATATTTTTTCATAAAGAATAACTTTAAAATTAATTTTTTTTAATAAATTTAAAAAGGACTTAAAAAGTAAAATCCTGCACTATTTCCACAAAGATAAAATTTAATTTAATGGGGAATAAAGTGAAAATCGTTTAACACGAAACTGAGGGGACTGAATTATTTTTTCGTGTTAAAGGTTATTCCCCCCCCCAAAAAAAAACATATATTCAACAAAATTAAGATTTTTAGAGTACATTTAATTTACGTAGATATGTATATGTGCATGTATTTAATAAAAATCAATAAAAGAAAAATTCCACACGAATTTAATGAAATTTAATGCAATATTTTCAAGTTTTTTGAAAAACAAAATATTTATTGAATTTTTGGAAAATAATTTGATATTTTTCTTTGCATTATCATTTTTAGCATCCAATTGTCAACAAATTGTTTGACGTCGTCCATTTTGTAATTCTTTTCACCATTGGAATGTGCGTCTATATAACTGCGCATGCTTTTCATGATGTTCTTCATTTCAGATGACGTGGGAGCAGGACGTTCATTATTCATTTCATTTTTGTTGTCGGAATCTGAATCAATGACATTTTTTTAGCTTTGTACAAACTCCAAAATGTCTTTGTCTGCCATAATTGGGGCTGTACATGCATTATCGTCCACTGCAGCGAAGTCTTCCGATGATACAGTAGGACAGTCCAATAATACATTAACTTTCTAAAACATTTTATTAAGTGCCGGCTCAGTTTCAATATCCTCCTTCTTCATTTCTTTTGGCGCCAAATAATCTGATACTTTTGATAACCCTACAGGACGAAAACAATTTCAGTCGTCCTTTGAGTCGCTGAATCCCACTCAGAATACAACATATGAAGAGCATCTAATAAACTGATCAAGAAATCTTCATTTCCTTGGATTGTGAGTAAATATTTTCGAAGTAATTGCTTCCAGTAGAAAAATTTCATATTTTATATAATCCCTTGATCATAAGGCTGCAAGACACTTGTTGTATTTGGAAGCAAAAAGATGAAGCGTTATAGCTTTCAATACAACATTGGGATGACTCGGACAATTATCAATTATCATTGCAACCTTACACTTTTCTTGTAAGAATCGCTCATCTAACTTTACGTTCCAATTGGTGAACATCGTATCTACCATTCATGCATTTTTATTTTCTGTATTTTCAACTGGTAATGTTCTTACATTCGTAAAACATTGCAGTTTCAAACTTTTGCCAATAACAAATAGGGCTAGTTTTTTAGAACCATCCAAACTACTTCCTACCAATGCCATAATCCGTTCTTTAGACAGTTTTTTCCCTGAACACGATTGTCCTTTAAATGGGGAAGTATTATTGGGTAAGCAGCGGTAAAATAACTCAATTTTGAATGTTGAAGACATCTTTCCACGTTGACATCTCCACATTGAAGACATCTTTCACTTCATATTCTTCAAGTATTGAAGGCAACATATCCTGAAACCAATTTACTATCATGGTCGGTAAAACCTGATTAGCTTCTAGCACTATGCAATTTCTTTTCTTGGATAGTTCCAATCATCCTGGATTTGCAGAAAATGTAATACCCACTTTTCTAGCAAATTCATTTCTTCTTTCTAGCATTAAAAGGTCCTGGTATGGGAGCATTCTGAGATCTCGCTTGTTTGAACCAAGGAAGTAAAGCCATCTCTAAGTCCTTGGCTTGGCCGTTCTCATCCGTTTTCGCTCTGGCTTCATTTTAAGCAAAATAGTAGTTTGCTTTCCCCCTGAGCTCTTTGCAATTGTGCTCATAAAAATATTCTTCTAAAATAGACAAAAAAGGAACGCCAACCAAACTCACTGATTTTTCTACTCACACTGCAATGTACTCGTCACTGAAACCCAAAGCCAAATGATAAGGGAGGAGATGTTTTTGTGCGGCGTTTGTTGGGGTGGAGGGTGAAAGTAGTTTAGATAAACAAAATTGGCTCGTGTCACAGACTAATCCGAGAGTATTTCAAAGCCAATTTAGCCTCCTTTCTATGAAACATGTGAAACCACTGCCCTTTCATTTCATATCCCTCTTAAATTTCACCTGCGCGGCTGTTGTTTTCTGTATTTTGTTCATTTCCAGAAAGGAAATCTTTTCGTGTTAAGTGATTTTTTTTGTTCCGTGTTAAGAGAGAAAAAGTTTCATGAAAATACATAGTAGTTTGTCAGGACCATTCTTTTTTTTCGTGTTAACCGATATTTCGTCGAAAGCGTTTTTGCATTAAACGTATTTCACTTTATGTGAAGGAAATTATCTCCTATAAAATGTGAAGTGAAATTTAGATAGTAAATATGCACTGTTGTGAATATAAGTAATTGGAATTTGTAAATAATTAAACTGGAATTGTTTATTAAAATACAAAACTTAAATAAAACGAGAATTATTGCTGATTCCATAAAAAGGTTCTGACTCATCGAGGGAAATTGGAATATTGCCATACAACTACTTACAATTCATGAGGAGCACATTTTGTCATTTCGCATTTCTGAGCAAAATCCTACTTAAATTTTACATTCTTTTTTCAGTTTTATAAAATCCAAATTTAAATCTTAGACAGTTATTTGCAATTAATTTCAGAAATAAATATAGTGTTCATATAGAACAACATTTAAATGAAAAAGTAATATTTAAACGAAAAAAAGAATAAAAATCAAGATGCAAATGAAATGAAAGGAACAAGTAAAAGTTAAATAAACAATGAAATTTTTAAATATTAATTAGCCAAAATTAATCTTAAATTTTACCCTAACCAGTGGAAATTTCAAAATGAGTATCACAACAACAAGCTTTAAGTGCTAAAGGTTGCCTTGAGTAAATTTTGGGAGAATCCATTTTACTGTTATGTTAAAACTGCATTTTTATTGGCATTAAATTGAGACAGGAAAAGGTTTTCCATTGACCCAGATTTCTTCCAGGATAACCATTCAGCAATAAATAACAGAAAATAATAATAAAAACTGCATGGTAAGAAATGGAGAGTAAAACTGAAAATTTTATAATTGAATTCTGGCAAAATTCACTGCAAAAGAAACATTTTTACATCTAAAAAGGAGCGAGGCCAGAATATTTACAGAAAAGTTTTTATACAGTTTAATTACATCATTTCTTATCCTTCTTTATAGTTCTAGATAAGCTTATTATTACTTCTTAGTTTAAGGATTAAATTTGATATTCAACATCAGCTTTAAGAAGATAATAATAAATCTTGTAGGTGTGCTACTTTCCATAAGTACCGTAATTTCCGGAAGAAAGGCCGCATCAGCGTAAACGCCGCACTCGAGAAAAATGGTGGGAAAAAAATTTAAATTACACAGAAACGCCGCATCAGCGTAAACGCCGCAATAGATTAAATTGCGCGTGACATCGTCGTGGGCCGTATAGATGCAAAATCTCAACCTAAGTCCTGATATATGACATTACCAGTTAAGAAAAATGCATAAAATGAACCACAACTCAAAAATAAATTAAAGGTAAGAAATGTATAGCTTCTGTGCCGTTTAAGGACATTTTCAAAAATTTTCCGCTCCCTATTAAAAACTATTCAACAGTACTTGTACCCAAACTGATGGGATGTATTGGCAGAATGCCAAGAAAAAACTATTAACAAGTACTATTAAAACTATTCAACAAGTACTTGTACCCAAACTGATGGGATCGTATTGGCAGAATGCCAGAAAAATCCATTCATGCTGAAGGGGAAATAGGTCAGAGTTCGTTATTTCGGGCAGGTGGGAGTCGTGTTCCGCCTTTGAAAAAAAATTGCAGAAAAGGCAGGGGTGGGAAAGGATGGGTCCTGGAAGATTCTCGAATGGCAGAGGGAGAGAGGACTATTCAAACTGATGACAATGTGATTGAAGGGGAAGAGTGTTATTGTTCTAGATCTCGTTTAGGGTGAATAAGGCAGTAGGGTCCGTTCAAGGGAAAGAATGTAAACAAAAAATAACGTTCGCAAAAAGCAACTGAGTGGTGTTTTGTGTGGAAAAAGCACCAGTCTATGCACAATGACAAGGCCATCCAAACTATGTACAATGACCATCATAGGAAATATTTTATTTTTAGTGCACCTAAACGCCGCATGGGTAGAAACGCTGCACCCGCTGAAAATTTAAGTTTTAAATACGTAAACGCCGCGGCGTTTCTTCCGGAAATTACGGTATATGTGTGTGAAGTAAAACATTGTGAAACTGTTTTTAATGAAAAGGTAATTAAAAGCAGTTTCACAGTAATTTAAGTCCTTAACTTTATGCAGATTTTTTTAATCTATTAATTTGATTGTGTATTGTGTTTCTGGTGACTTTCCTGTAGATATTAGATTTCCAGTTAACCCTTTGCGGCGCACTATACGTTAACGTCGGAATTTCAACAACAAAAAACAAAAAAAAGTTGTATGCAGTCTATTTAGTCCTAAAGGAGTATACAGGTAAAATTTTGTAAAAGATGCACTTACCGTTTTAATTCTGTAGGTGTTCCATGAGGTGGAACACTGCGCGCCAGGCTTTAAAAGTGGACTAAGCGAGCATGCAGTGAAGCACGAAAATGAATAGAAGCTTTGATAAGAATGAAAAAACTCTGTATTATGGCTGTATACATGGTTCCTGGATATACACATATTCTTGAATATATACGGATAAATGAGATAACTATATAATATATCAAGTCCTATAACAAAAATATTTACAAATTTTCGGAAAGAGTTAGACCTCTCTGCGCCATTTATGGGAAATTAATAATAAAAAAATTAACTACGTTAATTAACAATAAAAAAAAATAAGCCTTGATATACATACACGAAAAATATATACACAATTATGAGACTAAAAAGCGACAGCAAAAATTCGCGCAGGTCTAAGTAAAGATGTGTCAAGCTACTAATAAAATTCCCGCCTAAAAAAGAACTACTCATAAAAAATTCGAGATGCCGATATTAGGGCTTTCATAACACAAAACACACCTCACCAATCAATACTGCTTTGTTTGAATTCATTCCCCCCCCCATAGCAACGTAAACAGAAAACGTAAACAACGGATGTTGTCTCCTAAGCACAGATGTTTTGATTCGTAACAGCATGAGGTCGCTAAAGGCGCAGTGTTCCCGCTAATGGAACACCCAGGTTTATTTAATGATTCTGCGTATGGTTTTTGTCTGAAAGATTAAAAAAAAATAGAACAGATAATTTGGAAAGCCAGCAAAATTATGCCTAATTTTTTTTTTCCAAATAAAATTTTTTATGTCATTAAAAAAATAGAGAAAATTACTTGAAAAAATGTGGATTTTAATAACACATAATAAATGAAAATTCTGTGTCTCCTTGTGATATGCTGCTATCTACTGTTTGAAAAGAAAAGTTCAAAGTATATTATAAAGACATTTTTACCTATTTACGGTTTAATTTAAAGGTTTCAGAAGCGATTCAATTTGGGTGTTCCATGTAGTGGAACACTGAGCCGCAAAGGGTTAATAAGTTTAATTGTAGAAAAATAAAAAAAAGTATTTTTTTCGTCAAAAAATTTGTTTTATAATTAATGATATGAAGATCAAGATATTCTATTTCTTGTTGATATTTATTGGTTTTATTAATTTTTAAGAAAGAAGGGTAGATTTGGAATTTGCCTTTATCTAATTTAGGGATAGTAAATTTTTTGTGTAAGAGCTTGTGTCTTTTGCTGAATCTTGTTTCTATTTAAATCACCTGAAAGTTTTAACTTATTAATCTGTTGTTTTATTTTGTTAAAACTTTTTCTTTCCATTCAAAGAATGTTTTACTAGGTAGATTAAGTTTATAAATTGCTTTGAAAATAAATTCATTGAGGTTCTATCAATATTAAAGGCAGTTTAAGTTTTTAATGCTGTAGACTAGCCTAATTTTAGTTTCTAATTTCATCAGTTCTCTTAATTGCTTTTTGATATTGGACAATGGCTAATTTTCTTGTAATGATATGCTTATGGTGTTTGTTGAGAAATGGAAGATATTCTGTCATAGTACAGTTACAGTTTGCAGTAGGATTAAGATCTTGATCCAGTGACTTAAAATTTTTTTAGATTTAAAAGAAGGTATGATACGTGCTGTAATTGCTGAGAAGTGTTTTTGGTGATTTTTTAAATACTTTGCAAAAATTGATTTGGTCATATTTAGGGTAAAAGGAATTTATTTCACAGTAATATTGATTTGTATTTATTTTTTGATTTGAAAGTTTGTATTTACAAAATTCTAGAATCAGGTCCTTAATAATATTTGCATAGTATATTGAAATTGGAAATAGTTAATAATGAATGTTAAGAATTTACTAGTCTAAGTGTGCAACTGATTAATTAGATTTTTAGGGAAATTTTCTGAAGAGAGAAATTTTTCAACATAATCTTGTAGGACCCACAAAATTTTTTTATTGTTTTTACAACTTCCTCTTTTCCTCTGTTGTTTTTTTTTTTATAAAAAAGTTGAAATTGGCAGTATGTCGAAAAATTTCTATATTCTTTGTGTTGCAGAATATGTGTGTTAAGACCATAAGTGTAAAGCATTTTCATTTTTGGACCTGATTCTAGATTTTTGTAAATACAAACTTTCAAATCGCAAAATAAATTTAATATTGATTAAGAGATAATTGGTAATGATCGGTACTTATTTATGCATCTGTGTAATGATTAAAGAGATTATAGAGTGATCGGTAATTATTTATGCATCAGTGATGCACAACAAAAGTTCAGTATTTAGAAAGCATCACATTTCCATTAACATCATGACTGACTAATAAGCTGAAATTTTGAATTTCATCCTTATTAAATTAAACAAGATTTATATATTTTTATTAAAAGAGTATAATTTATATGTTGTAACTGATATGTCCTTAATAGCTTCTTTATTATCTTAAGCTGTTTTGATATAATTTATGTATTTATTAAATGTTATGTACTTTCAGTTTTCCTATGGTTTCTTCAAAAGTATTCCAGAAACACACTTGTTCTCACATAGTAACAGCCAAAAATCCAATGTGTTTATATGTTTTGGACATTAGTACTGCATCATCAGAGGGATATGTTACTTGGAGAATGTTGAAGAATCAGTCACCCTCTGCACCTGAAGAAGTTATTTTACACTCTTTAGTGCTTAGGAAAGGTGAACTTATTATGTTTGGAGGAATCCAGAAAGACTTAAATTCAAGGCAGCAAGAAGGCGAGACGGTGCACGAAGTTGTTTCAAACTCTTTACATTTTATGACTGCTGAGCATTTTGTGATTTGATGAGACATTCATGCTGTAAAATTTTCACTTTAATGAAAGTTTTTCTTTCTTTTTTTTCTTTTTTAAACTGTGGCTTCAGAAATGCCTGGCAGTTTTGTGATGGAAAATAAGAAAAGAAAAGTTTAACAGAAAGCTGGATTGTTCAAATTTGAGTTTTGTGCATTACTTTTTCCATGCATTTTTCAGAGACTTTCAGAAGACTGAAATTTATTTTTAAAATGCAATCAGTAATTAGCTATGCGTAAATACGATTATATTTCCATAATAATCAAGTTTCTTTAACAAAGAGCATTTACTTAGCACTATGGCCAAAGCATATGCTGTGAATAGCAAATTTTTATTGTTAATTTGTAATATAATTCTCTTCTTATGCAGCTGTATTGTATATATTAAATATTTTATTGTAAACTGAAATTGAGAAGAAGTCATGACGGTATTAAACAGATCTTTCTTGTCAGTTAATGTGTTTTGTGTGCTATTTAGTTAATTCTTTTGTGAAAATATGATGAAAATGTATGAAGAACAGTTTTCGAGTGATGATTAATGATTGCATTGAATTCTTAATATTTTTTAACAGTGGTAGTAACTATATATTGATTTTGAATAATATTTGAAATCCTTCCTGTATAACTTTAAACCATTCTATTCTGTATAATAACAACATCATAGTTATTTTTCTTACCTTGCATTTTTTTTTTAATATATTTAGTTGGATTTTATTATTGAAATAAGTATTTATGTTTTACAACCATTATTGCCTCAGAGCTGTGAGGCTGTAGTTTCCCAACCTAGCATGAGCTGAAGTTTTAATTTCGGGAGTAAAATTAGTCAAAATTAAGATGTTGGATTAACTTCTGTATTTTACAGTTTTAATATGATTAATGGATTCACTTTCGTGATAAAGGCCATCCAACCAGAGTGATTAATATTTCTAAAACCGAAGAGAGGTGGAAAATGATGCAAAGGTTCATGTTCTGTAGAAAAGTATGTAATGATTAAAAAAAAAAAAAAAATTAGCTGCTGAATTGTTGCAGTTTGGCAATTTAAAAAAAAAATGTAAAAAATAAGACTATTTGATAATACAGCTCCCTTTTTCTAACCATCCGAAGTCTCAAAATACCATTTTAGCTTCAAATGAGTCAGAAATGTAAAATGAATTAATCAAACATGACCAAAGCTAAACATGTAAGTTGCATAATATGAAAAGCAAAATTTAATTTTTGAAAAATGGGGCCAGAAGGCAAAGAATTTTGAAATTATTCTATCATTGAAAAGGGTTGTTTATATATCGCACAAATATTTATGAAATACTAACTACACATTTCATATAATTTACATCACATTTTAGGTACTTTTTGGGAGACTAAAACTATAATATATGCTATACTGATTACATGTACCAAATTTTGATCAAAGTGCATGTTTGATAGTTACAAATAATTACAAATTGTGTGAACTGATATAACAGTTGAATTTGTATTTATTGCTCTTAAGTTGACAGCAGAAATATGTGGCTTAACCGCTATAGAGTCGGAAATCTTCTCATTTGCAAAATGAAATGAAATTTGGCAACAGTCTGTTTTTATGCTAATAATATATAATAAGTAGTTATATGGGTCAGACATAACGAATTTGATAACTTCAGAATATAGACTTCCATTTTGTAAAAATGTGGATGACGCAAAGCATTTCTGATAGAGCAATGTAAAGAAGCAATACTAAGTGCTCACATCCCCCTTCCCCATTTTTTCCCCTTTTTTTTTTCTTTTGTGAATATGCTTTGCTTATTTTTTTATTATCTGAGAGAATTCAGCAGCTGATTTTGTTTAATATATTACTTTTGAGTATGTAGAATTAGGTAGTTCCCCCCCCAAATCTATGTAACATTCCAGTTGAAAATTTTCCTTTGATAGTGAAAGCTGTATATAGAAGTGTATGGTACTTATGAAGTTCTAGGAATTCTTTATTACGCTTGAATAGTTGTTAAAATTTAAAATATATTAATTTGACAGAAACTACTTATATTTATTTTTTTATGAAAAATAATTAGCTTAGAAATATTTGTCTACATACTGAAACAAAAAAAGTACTTTCACAAACAATTTTCACAGTATTTTGCAAGTGATCGCAATAATATTACTCTTCTGAAAATTTATAAATGCTAAACTTTATTAAACTGCATACAAGTTTTGCTTTTGTATAGTATTAATATTACCTTTTTTTTTACCTAGTTTATTAAGCCATAAAAAGATTATACTGAATTGAATAGCAAAATTCAGTATTACATGATTTTTCTAATTATTTGAAATAAATATATTAAAAGAAAACTGTAAATGAACCAAAAAAATTGTTGATTTAAAATCTGCAAATTTTAAATACAAATTTTGTATTTCTGATGTAAGTTAAAAATTAAAAACCTGTATTGTTACAATTTCCCTAGTTTTTTTTCGCTAACTCAAACAGTCATTTTTCGTTGTAATTCCTCATTTTCATACCCAGAAATATAAACACAAACAATATCATTTTTGGGCTGATTTTTCCTGTCCTTAAATTAATGGACTTCCAGTAGAGGAGTTATTATTGTAAAAAATACAACGGTCAAGTAATAATAATTATTATGACAAATCTTGTATAATGTAACAAGAAAAGCCAAGCTCTGCTGGAAGTCTATTTAACATTGAGGTAAATGGCTGTTTCTCTAAATTGGCGAGATATCGCCAAGCTAGTGATGGTTTGGGCGATAATTTTTATCGCCAAACTTGGGAATCATTTGGCCTATGTAACTATAAGTATATCCGGCCTATATATGCAACTATAACTGTATATGCCTTTCAGTAATTTCGAAAAATGGAAGGTACTGGAGATTTCTCGTTGGCTGGAGTAAAACTATTACAAATTCAGAGAGAGCAACAGTTATCTGTATTTTTTAGTTCAGAGTAGACTTTGGAATATTGAGGAATCGCCATGTGACATTTGCTGTTTAAAGGTACTTTGCATTGCATTGCGTTTAAGTTCTTAGTAGTTTGAGGTGGTAACTACTGTTTGTGCTCTGTCCTGCTGAGAAGAGCTGTATAAGTACTTTTGTGGAAAGTTCCGAAACTGTAAAGGGTTTCTTTTGCAAAAATAATTGTTTATCAATCTGTCATCTGTTCTGCATGCATTCAATCCATTACAAACCCATACGCAGGCAACATTATTATTTGTCAGCTATGTTTTGTAAAATCAACTAACACTTTTCATAGCTGAAAAACTCTTTCATTTAATGTTGTCATGATTTGATGAACACCACGCATGCACACTTTAGCCTAATGGTGTGCATTTTCTCTTTTTCCCATGTGACACAGAGTCGAGATTGCAACAAGAAGAGAATGTCACGATAAGGATATGTTAGGCTGTAAGTCAGCGGAAATGTTATGTTATAAACTTTTACGCAAATTGTATCTGTTCATTTTGTTCGTGCTATAATAAAATGTTTGTCTAATACCATCTAGGTATACAATATGAAAATGCCCACATTACATCACATTTATGTTAAATATGTGCAGAATCTCATGATGGATATATCACAGTGAGGAGAGAGAGATATTTATAATAGATTATGAATTTCCTGGTTGTCAGAAAAGATAAGAAGTATTTTTTTTTTAATTTATTTTGTTGGAAATTGAAGTTTAACCATAACAGAAACGGCTGAAGCAGAGCTTGTGAAACTTAAGAAAGAACGCAAAGTTATTC